CCGATCGACGGGCATCTCGATTGGGTCGGGGAACATTCGTCTTCGGGTGTACGACAAAACGCACGAAGTGCGTGGAATCGCCGAGAAGCAGTTGCTGATGTACCTGCGGCGGTGGGGAGTCCTTTTTCCAAGCACTGCTACTCGTGTTGAGTTCCAGTTGCGGCGTGAGAGTCTCAAGTCGCGTGGCATCGACACGTTCGACGACTGGCTCGCAAAACGCGGCGCCGTGATGGAATACCTGACACACGAGTGGTTCCGTTTCACGGACGGGCCCTACAACCCCAAGCACTCGGACCGGACGCCAACGCTCGATGTTTGGCAATTGGTGCAGCAAAGGTCTCAGCAATGGGCTGGCGTTAGCCGTGGCCAGGCGCTTGCTCCGCTCTACCTGGAGCCCCCTCGCCTCGAACAGCTCGTGCTGCAAGCAATCGGCGTGATGGTGACGGCGATGGCCCGTGAGAACGTCAAGGTTACGAGCAACGGGCACTTTCTCGACGAGCTGATCGAGCGCGTCGAGGAGTTGGTCGAGGCGCGCGACATGGCCGCCGAGGTGTACCAGCGCGCCATCGAGTTGGGGGTCTACCTGCCATGACCTCCGCGTCTCCTGCGCCAACCGAGACTCTGCCGAAGTGGATTACGCGCGATTTGGTCGCCGAGACGATCGCCGTCTGGTCGCCAAAGTATGGCCGACGTTTGACCGAGCGGGAAGCGATCGAGATACTCCTGGATGTAGGCCGACTGTTCGACGACTTGGGAGGAAGTGATGGCGAAGCGATTCCTGGCGTTGGCGAGAGTCTCTAGCCGTGAACAAGAGCGCGAGGGCTTCTCGCTTGAAGTCCAAGTCGAGACGCTGACGCGATATGCCACGGAGCACGACGGCGAAATCTTCAAACTCTTCCGCATCGCGGAGACGGCCACCAAGCCCGACGAGCGCCGCACCTTCAAGGAACTGCTCGGCTACGCGAAGGACCACGCCGCCGAGATTGACGCCGTCTTGTTCTTCAAGGTGGACCGTGCTGCAAGAAACCTGTTCGACTATGTCGAGCTCGAACGCCTCGAAGACGAGCATGGCGTCAAAGTCGTCTACGTGACGCAGCCGACGGAGAACACGCCAGCGGGGCGGATGATGCGGCGGACGCTCGCCAACATGGCGTCGTTCTACACCGAGCAGCAGTCGCTCGACGTGCGCGACGGATTAGAACGCCGCGTGAAGTCGGGCCTGTTCGTCGGCAAGGCGCCGTTCGGCTACCGCAACGTCCGCCACGATGGCCGCAGCCTCGTCGAAGTCGATCCCCGCGCCGCCGCAGCCGTCCGCCGAGCCTTCGACCTGTACGCCTTCCACGGCCACACCATCGACTCGCTGCTCGACCAGCTCGACGCCGAGGGTGTCGTCTACACGGCGAAGTGCCGGCGGTTCACCCGTAGCAAGCTCCACACGATGCTCCGCGATCGGGCCTACCTGGGCGAAGTCGCCTACCGCGGCCACTGGCACGAAGGGACGCACGAGCCGCTGATCGATCGGGCAACGTTCGATCGGGTTCAGCAATTGCTCGGCGGCCAGATTTATCGCTCCCACGAGCTCACCTACGCCGGCCACCTGATCATGTGCGGCCACTGCGGCCGGCCGATCACCGGTGAGTCGATCGAGCGGAAACGCAAGTCGGGCGTGAGCGTCTACCGCTACTACCGCTGTGCGGGCTACACCGCGAAGGGCCACCCGCGTATCCGCCTCACCGAGGCCGACCTCGACGCGCAAGTGATGGGCCTCTTCGACCGCTTGAAGATCGAAGACGAGCAGGTCCGCGATTGGTTCGCCCGTGTGCTCCGTGAACGCACCCGCGGCCAGCAAGACGCCAACCGCGAGCGCCAAGCTGAGCTGAGCCGTCAAGTCACGCTGTTGCGTCGTCAGCAGGATCAGCTCTTGAACCTGCGGCTGCTCGAAGAGATCGACGCCGACACGTACGCGGCGAAGTCCACGGAGCTACGCGATCAAGTGAGTCGGCTTAGCGTGGAACTCGAAGCGACCGACCGCGGCCGGGCCGAACTGGGCGAGATCGCCATCAAGGCGTTTGAACTCTCGCAAGTCCTTCGCGAGAAGTGGCTTACGGCCGATTACCGGGCCAAACGTCACCTGCTCGAAATTGTCGGTTTGAACTACCGGCTCGACGACGTAACTCTCGTCCCTGAATGGAGAAAGCCCTTCGACGTTCTCGCCGAAGGGCCTCTATCTGAAGAAAGTCGGGGCGACACGATTCGAACGTGCGACCTACTGGTCCCAAACCAGCCGCGCTACCAGGCTGCGCCACGCCCCGCTCTACAAGCCTGGGGCTGAACGCCGCAGGCTTGAGAGACCCGACATCTTACGCGGCCGGGCGGTTCGCCACAACGAGGGGGAGCCTGCGGCGCCCCTTCCTTTGGCGCCCGGCGTTCAGTCGGGCAGAAGCCGCAGCGGCGCGCCGGACGCGAGGCGGTAGACCGAGAAGTCCCGGCGGTCGAGGGTGAACACCGTGTCGATCCGCA